TCACAGCTCTATGGAGCAGCATCAGACTCATATTCTGACTAGAATTGAGTCGGACTACGTCAGGCTACGGATTTCTGGCTCATGGTAAAAAAAAATCACTCCAAAATAAATTGATGGTGAATAAATTTTAAAAAGACAATCGAACTCCCCCTTGCGTTTGTCAGCCGATGCACTTCATGAACACCGGCACGCTGCGCTCCAGGAAGCTTATTTACGCATTCCAGTGGCAAAAAGGTGCTACGCAAACATGAGCAATACGCTGGTCATCGAGCTGCTGTTTGTGCGGCCGCGCACGCTACACGTTAGCTGGGAGCTACGGCAACAGCTGATGTACCAGCATCAATAACTGACCGTGTATGCGAGTTAAAAATAAGGGTTTGTGCTTTCCTCGCCGCACAAAACCTCTTATTCACACCTGATATAGATGCACTCTTGCCAGCTTCTGGCCGTTTTTGGTAGTGGATTTTCAAAAGTCAAATTTAGTCTTCAGTCATTCGTGCAATAATTGGAAATACACACGCACAGGGCCATATATTTATATATATTTATATATAAATAAATAAATAAAAACATATATGGGCGTGTGTGTCGAAAAAGTTCAGGCTTTAATCCCTAGTTCTGTTACCAGGCTGAACAGCTCCAGTGTTACGCCTCAACAGGTCTAGGATTCATTAACCCCAAAAATGAGTCCAGATAGAGGATTTTCATTAAAAGTCCGATTTGTTTCTACCGTATCCATGCAACCCACCACGACAATGAGTGAAAAGATTTTTTCCGCAGATATCACGGATTATTTTCACACATGCGGTGCCTGGACTGCACAACTACGGCCCCCGCAGGCATGGATGGACTGGGAATCCTGGGCTGTTGGCCTGCCTCCTTCATTACTCACACAGGTTAATCAACTCGTTATCTGAAGAAATCAATAACTGTTTTCTTGTGATAACGAGATAATTATCTCGTTATCACAAGAAAACAATTAATGGTTTAAACGTGATAATGAGATAGTTACGTCATTATCTCGAGAAGGCAAAGGCAAAGAAAAAAAAGTGGAGTATGACCACTCTAGGCTTCCGTACTTTTGATATTAAAGCTTGATATTCCACTCAGCGACTATAAAGCCCTATAGTTCTCATCCACCTTTGATAGAACGTTATCGCCCCCTCTGGCCTGGCATGCTTATTTCAGATGCAGCACATTTCAAGGCCTTGTGTTTGTAGAGCAGCTACTGTGAATAATGAAGGAAGTGTTAAAGAGCAGAACTTTTTTTGATAGTTTAGGTTCTTTTTTTAATCTTATCATGATGTTTCTGTCTTGCTATATAGACTGTAAGCTCTTCTGTATCAGCTGTTATTGAATATTTATCTGTTATCAGTTCTGCTGTGAAGCTGGAGAGGATGTTCCACCTTCTGTCGAGTTCATCGCTGCAGCGCAGAGACTAACTTATTCCCCAGCTGAATATACTGCATGATTCTGTTCATAAAATCCCTGTTTAAGGTCGTTTTGGCGTCCGGCTCGCTGCCATTGCCCCGTAAGAAACATTCCCGCTTCCCCAGCTGCTGTTTGGGGCGGCGCCGGCACGCCTGCGCGACGTGGGAGAGTATTTATTAGTTGTAGCATATTTTCATTTATCATGACGGTCCCGATGCCAGCCGACGGTTCTTCATCGGGTCAACTGATGCCGGTTCTGGTCTGGTCTCCTTGGAGACCGGGCGGAAAGTTTCCTGACACTTGAAGTATGGCTGAAATGTATTCAGATGTGTATTTTAAGCTGTTGTTTACTGTGTGTTTTTATATAACTGATACCTCTTTGTACAAAACAGAAGTATGGACATTTTTTACTGTTGATAGTAGCTGAAAACATGAAGGTACTTTTATTTCCATTAAATAAAACTCTGAATGAAAGGATTTGCCTTTTCTAATCTTTATATGAGTCTAAATGAGGCAGAGTCGGGTGCAGATGTGAGGTTTGTGGTTGTTTTTATCCCCTGGAGTGATTCTGTTTGACTTTACCTTCATAAAATTAACCTTTAATTCTCTTGAGTTTTGTTGAAAAACTGACTTTTTCAAACAAAATCAAATAATTTAAACTGATTTTATGAATGATGATCAGAGGTTCTGAGGCTGGTACCCCAAAACCGTTAGATAATTTCACTAAGGGAGGTTAAACGGAAGCAGCTGTCGCCCCCTGCTGGTGGGCGGGGCAGCATCTCATCGGCTGAAACTCATAAAAAACATAAGCAGCTAATCTGGTAAAACCAAAAAATTATTTAACTAAAAGCTGGGCCGGGGCCAACTGGGAAAAACATAAACTTTGAAGGTCAATTTATCCTGAACATTTTCTCTTAATTTAAAGGTATAGAGGAGGATCTTTTATTTCCGGGTGGATCATCTAAATAAGTGGTGCTCCTAATTGTCAGTCATTCTTGTGATATGTTTACATAAGGCCGTCCTACGTGATCATCCTGTTAGCTATCTTTTCAGCGCACTTTCAGACGTATATCTGTGGTGAGCAACGGTTTCAGACAGTCATTGAAGCTCACTTTTCTCACCGCCGTTCTTTGAAAATGGCCGAGGGTCGGAAGAGAAAAAGTTTCTACGAGGTTGATGAGAAGAAAAGAAAGGCCTCAGAAGAGGCAGATATATCCCAGAATGCTTTGCGCTGAGAGCTCTCCTCGCAAAGCGTTACAATACCTTTAAGCAAGTAAGTGATACAAGTTGCCTATTAAACAAGTTTAAAAAGAGAGAAAAACCCACTCATTTGAGTGCATGATATCTAATTTTAAAAACTAAAATCCAGCTCTGCAGTGTCCTACTCATAGGAGCTTCCTTTGAAACAACAAAGAAGTGTATTGTGAAAATATGTTTGACTTTGTTTTACAACTTGTTTAGAAATGATTTCACACCACCGGTTAATTCTTTAATGAAAAGGAAACGTCTACAGAGAATTTCTGCATCCTTTTAGAGTCATGTGATACGCTTGTGTTTGATGCGGCTCCAGCAGGTCTGATATTGTTGTTGAGTTCCTCAAAACCTCCACCTGATCCAGCTCAGTCACATTCCAACAACAAACATGGATGAACTTTATTAGGATTTAAAGTACTGAACAGACATATAGAAGGAAAGTGATACACAATCATTAAGGCATTTCACGGGGCCCAGAAAGAACCTCTAGTTACACCAAATGCCTTTGGAAGTCATATGATTAGTTAATAAACTTCAGATGTTTGCAGAATGAACGCAGATCCATCAGTTTCTAAGAGGTTTGTTAGTGAAAAACCAGATCCTAAACATGACTGAAGCTTTTCAGAGATGAAAGCAGTTCTGCCGCTGTGCTAAAACTACTGTGTTCAACAGCAAAATAAGAAGGTTTTCTGTTTCATTTAGCATCTCTTCTAGCCTGGGTGCCAGTC